TCGTGATTCGGATGTGAACGTGACTGGATTCTCCAGTGACCCAGTGATAGTGTTCCCACCGGGGGTGGAACACAATGTCCATAGATTCAAACGTCAATGAGTTATCCACTAAACCATCTGAGCCACAAGAGTCACCTCTAGTGTAACGGATCATATTAGTTATTTAATTGAATTTTAGATTGGACCAAAGTGTGCTCGGTCTCAGGTTGACATGTCTGTCGGCTTCTTATGCAGACGCTTCGACGATGTCTGGTTATGTAACTTGAAGTCAATTGGTCAATGGTGACTAATAGTGATACAAGTGTTCTGGGGTATAACGCTCTGGTGTCTGAAACTACGGGCACTGGGTTCGAGCCTTGGTTGTAACACCATCACTCACTGCGGAATGCAGGCACATCCAGTCAGTTGACGAGTCTCAAGTGGGACGAAGTGCTCATCCTGAATTCCACTGCTAGTCACCATCCACCAATTAAATACTAACTAAATGCCCAGACATCGTCGAAGCATCTGCACAAGAAGCCGACATGTCAACCTGAGACCGAGCACACTACGGTTCAATCAATCGACGGGAAAATCTAAAATTCAATTAAATAAATATATTGCTCTTTGTTATTACTATCCTTTTTGCCTCATATCTCTGTTTACTGTCTCTATTTTGCATTCCTTTTTAATTTCTCCTCTTGCTTTGTGTGCTACATGGGAGTAGAGTGGTGACTTGAACTGCTGCACATCGGTGCAAAGTAGTTCTATGCTGAAACCAGTCAGTCAGTTGATCTATGATCGGTGTCGTTGATTATCTTTGATTGGTTAATGACCATTTTGCTGCCCAATAGAACTCAACTAACCCTACCATTGACTGTCTGTCTCTGTCTGGATTCAACATAGAACTTGGCACCGAAGTGCAGCAGTTTCAGTTGCCACCTTCCAAATAGCACACAGAGATATACAAGAAGATGAGTGAAGAGAATGAATACAGTCTGACAAGTATAAGAGTGAAACAGAATGGGTAGTGAATACATCTGCGCCACTGACAACGATTTTGAGCCATGTCACCTATTATCTCCAGCCATTGAATCTTAGAGTCCCGAGGGCCCCAACCCGGAAGTCTGCATCTCCCTACCTGACTCAGTTTAACTGTCAATGATTTCATGGATTGATGAGGCCATGTTTTTGTTTGGCCACCAATTACTCTTTTCCAACCTGCACCTATATCAGCTAGTAAAGCCCGTCGGGGGACTACAAAAATAAAGAGTTCACGCAGTCAATGGTACTTAAGGCGAATTAGCTGGATAATCATTTATAGGATTCGGAATAGAAATAATTTCCGACTTAAAACTTTTTTGGCGAGGGGACGGGGAAATGAAAAGGGCTGTGTTTTACTAACATTTAACCCATCACATCACATCTAAACGTAATTATCCCAATATAATGATAAAAGTCACACACACACACATATCTATTCAAAAAAATAGGATTAAATAGAAAAGATTGATGACTAATACCTCATAATCTCTAAAACTGATTTAAATTTGAAAAACCCGCCTATCGAAATTTGACTTAATTCATTATAACTGTGTTTTTGTGAAACATTTAAAAGGCATTTTCATGTGATAATCCTTTTGGCGATTCAGTTTGTGTCATAAATATGAATTATTTCACAGCCCCGAGTATTATTGTCTAACGATAATTGATGACCAGCGGGGGGTGGGGGAGGGGTTGAGAAAAAATAAATTGGACATTGAACACAAAATAACACGTACACATTTGTATGTCTAGACAGTCTGTGCAAATGACCTAAAATTAAGTGATACACACATTTTTGTTGTTGAAATTTGAGAAGTGTGATTTTTGTATTTTTTTTCTCTTTATTTTTTTGGTATTTTAATGACATTTATTCATATGGATTGTAGGTGATAAGCACCTTTGTGCTATAAGCAACTTGCATTGCTGCCCTTCTGTGCAGAATTCTAGGTTGAAACTCAGTCAATCAGTCAGTCGGGCAGACAGTATCTGATGCTAATGTGAAGAGATTGTCAAATATTCTTAGACGGCATTGCTTTATAATATGATTTCCATTGTCTCTCGCATTCAATGATTTATTTAATTTTACCTTCAGAATTATGTACAGTGACACGAGGGATTGTATTTACGACCAATGACAAACATAAACAGACTGCATTCTGAAATTACAGATAAGATTTTTGGCCTAGGTGGATGATTTTGATGTGATTGTGTTCTTTGAGTTGGATGCGCGTTGTTTGTGAAGCTTTCTTGGTCACTTTAAACTATAGCAGCCGGAAAATGAAACTATCTAATGAAGACCTTGACAAATCTGTATGTCAAGATTTAAATGTTGACAATAAATTCATGATATCATTTGACGTATCTTCCTTATTCACCAATGTGTACCACTTATAGAAACAGTGGACTTTGTATGCAAAGAACACTTAAGAAGAAATATCAATGTTGGCATTCCTATATCTTTGATGAAAGAGCTTCTTTTGAAATGCATAATGAATGTGCACTTTTTGTTTAATAAGGAACTATATAGACAAATCGATGGTGTGGCAATGGGGTCACCATTAGGACCCATTCTAGCCAACATTTTCCCTGCGAAACTAGAAAATGGGCTACTGAAAGGTGTGATTGATGAACTTGAATTCTACTGTCGGTACATGGATGATACATTTTTGACTATGAAAAATGAGGATGAAGCAATGAGCATCCTGGATAAATTTAACGAGGTTCATTCTGCAATAAATTTTACCACTGAGAAAGAAAAAGATTCTAGTATTTCATTTCTAGACGACGTCCTTATGACCAGAAAAGAGGATGGAACAATAAGAAGAACTCATTGTTATACAAAATAAATAGGAGAGGTTCGAGTACTGTGCCGTGTGATACTCCACTACGTACTGTTGTCAAAGAGGAGAATTTCGAGTTAATCCTAACCCTTTGCCTCCTATCTATGAGGAATTCACTGAGCCAGTATAGACCAACAAAATTATTATTCAGCTTAGAAGGTGTTTGTGGTAAATTGATTGATAACCATTGGAAGCTAAGCAACATTGAAGTTATTCAGTAGTTTAAAGCTTCATTCAGAAAACCTCCATCAGTTTGATGAAAGCACACAGAGATACAGTGCTGTGTTACTTACTAATGACGTTTCGAACACAGTTTATTACTGTTTATAATCATATCAGTATTCGTTTCGGTGGTATATATATAATGACATTGGAACGATACAGAGAAGATTAGCATGACCCCTGCTCAATTATGACACTCAAAATCGTGAAGTGTCCCACATTTTTTTGTGTATCAGTGGCACAGTGGTAGAATGCTCGCCAACTGCGCCATATGTGGTTCGGGGTTCTACTTCCGGCCATAGACTCACTCCTTTACGTCGCTAAGACAGTAGTAAAACTGGTAAAGAGGGAAGGTTGGGAATGAGGCTGGCTAGCAACCCCATCCCGTAAAAATAATAAACACCACTGCTAACGAAACTTCAAGCCTGTAGTTTGAAGCGCCCTATGTTCCACTGGGAACGTAAAGGAATAAAAGAAGAAAAAAGCAGGCTTGATATGATTATGAGCAGAAATAAATGTACTCTATGATAGAATTATACTCTACCACAGTGTTGAAGTTCTATTATAACTATTTCCTCTGATAACTTATGTATTTCATTCAACCAGCGATATTGGAGTGAGTATTGGATGGGTTATCCGTACTTTTAGGGGGTTTCTCTTGCTTCATACTGAAACGGTAGAAGACCAAAGACTTGGCGAAGGAATGTTTATTTGGAATTCGATATCTCTGTAAGCAAATTACGTACACATCTTATCTTCAACGCCGCATCATTTGCCAAGATCTTCTGTGTTGTGCTATTTCTGGCCTTCATATTGTGTGTGTGTGTTTCTTTGTGTTCTTTTCACGTATCCTATGTATCTCCGCAATACTGTTTCATTTATATATATATATAGGGCTTCAAAAACACATATCCACTTTGCACTGTTTTCTGCTGTCTTCTTCAACCGGCTTCACGGTTGACCAAACTCTCTCATCTCTTCCAACTCACACGATCTCCTTTATGTCACCTTTGCGCTGACGACCCACCCATCGCTTCCTATTTGGATTCTACTCAAGCGATGGCTTGGCGTGCAATGTCATTCAGCGGCCTCCTCAATGTATACCCGATAAATCCATCTCTACTTTCTCCTACATATTTGTTGAGCTATCGGTTCTCGCCTGTTGGTTTGTTCCCATAGTTTCTTGTTGTCAATGCTTTCTGGGCATGTGATCCTCAGTATGGAGCCAACAAAGGTAGCGATTGATAAAATGCTGTAACCTGTTGGAAATTCTTTTCGTGACATGCTGGTCAAGTTTCTGACGCGTATTGAAGAACCAACTTTACTTTGGTGTTGAAAATGCAAATCTTGTTCATTATGCCTAACTGAGTGAAAAGGATTTCCAAACTGGTTTCAGATTGATGAAGGCGTATCTTGCCTTTCTGATTCTGGCTGGTTTCGGCATCGTCATCTGTTTCATGGGCCTTTGGTTGAAATGATGCTTCCTAGCTGGATAAGTGAAGGAAGTAACCTCTGTCAAATCTCCACCGTTGATGGTGATTTCTGCTGGTTGCTGTTCGTTGTTTATCTTCATCACCTCCGTCGTCTCTGTGTTCACCTGGGGTCCTGTCTTGGCTGCCTGATTCTTCAGCTAGTTTTTGTTTTTTTAGTTTTCGCTTGCAAGTCATCTTCGAGTTTGTGTGACATTAGACATAAATCATCCACACTCGAAATCCAGATCTTTTGGAGTCTTCTTATCGGTCGTGCAGCGTATTTCTAGCTCCTCGCTCTCCACAGTCTGACGCACAATCCTATAGATCACAATTAAGAATATCATTGGTGATAATAAGAAGCTTATTCAACAATAAACATAAAAGAATAATTTTAAAACATGATTTTTTTTCCCATAATTACTTTTCTCTCTCTTCATTATAGCAGTATGCAAACAAATTTCTATCCCGATTAACCAATGGTGATATTACATTGATTTCAAGTGATCATTATGGTGTCAATTCAAGTGATACAATCGGGAAACGATTAACAACAATCTGGGAAGTTGGTGTGGTAAGTAGTAGTCATTGCAATAAATTTGAATTTTTTTTTAAAAAACACGCAAATTTCATTATGAGCTGACATTGGTTAGAGAACCATTGGAAAACCCACTAGGAGTACTGGACATCCGTTTTGTCCTAGTTTGGGATTCTTCAGCAGTACGCTCCCACCACAGTGGTTCGAACCCAGAACCTTCTGCTTATAAGGCGACCTAGCTTGTAGACCATTAAGCCACTGGGACCTGAGCCAATGGCCACTGCATGAATTCTAACTTCTCTCAATTCACGATATAGCACAACCGCTAGCCAATGTCATCCGTGGTGGCGAGTATTTGTCCTCACATCCGACCTGCTGCACCCTACTGGTCACGACTTCCCACTAGAAACATAGGTAACTACCTATCTGAATAGGGCTAGTTGCCAGTGAGCATCTCATTGATATTGGCTTAATGGTCTACGAGCTAGCTCGTCTTGTAAGCAGAAGGTCCTGGGTTCGAACCCCGGTGGGTGCGTACTGATGAAGAGTCTCAAACTAGGATGGACAAAACAGCTGTCCGGCAGTACTTCAAGGTTTTCCAGTGGTTTCTTATCAATGTCAGCTCATGATGAAATCCTGTAAACAATCAACCAAATCCCTACAAACCAATAACTTGAAAAGCAAATTTCATTCATAAATTGTCTGTTGATTAATTACTAATCAGTGATATTATTATTCTTCCTTTACGTCCTCACTGGAGCATAGGATTACAAGCTACGACTTTGAAGTCTCGGTAGCAGTGGGTCTTTTTATTTATTTATTTTTGCGGGGGGGGGGGGTTGCTAGCCTCACAACCAACCTTCCCTATTTATCGGACTTATTACCAGCGTAGAGGGGTTTACGAGTGCGTCTGTGACCACGGATCGAAGCTCGGACCACGTGTGGAGTGGTTGGTGAGCGTTCTAGAGCTGAACTGCCGACACTAATCAGTTAAGTATATATGTATATATCATTGTTCATTTGACAGAGGGTCGGACTACTAATTCCAAGGCTTTTGAATAGAATCCCCTTGCAATCCAGATTTTCAATTCATCTTTCATCATTACTCCTTATATGAGTATCTAATCTCAGAAATTCTAAACCTGAGCGACCAGATAGGCCAGAAAACAACGATATGTAATACCACTGTATCACCAGTTCATCCAAGTGCCTAGCCAGAATTCATCTGTGTCAAATGAGTCGAAGCTAGAACACTCTTGATAAGCTAGGCCATCAAAACGAGTGAAACAACAGTTCCATTAGCGTTACATCACTTCGCCCTGACTAACAAATACTATTGTGTGACGCCCCTGATATATCCAGCCACTGCGTCGTTGGCACAGAGCTTGGGACGCTCGCCGACCTAGTCCGTGGTTCGATCCCAGGCCAACGCACATATCATTTGAGTAGTCGGCCTGCTAAATTTGGGCTACGCATATCACATGCCTAAAACTCCACACTTGTACCAATATACTGTGTGAAATCAAGCTATAATAAAATAAAAATTAAAAAAATAAATATCAACCAATCAGTTAATGAGTACCCGATAGGATTCTCTCCTTTTCCTACAATTTCATATGTATATTTAAGTATGCGTTTTCATATTTGTATTATTAAAAAGACAGTTGAATCGAAGATAGTTTTCTTTTCAACGAAGTCACCATCAACTAGACAGCTATACATTCGTGTATTTATGATAAATGGGTGGGAAAATTGAAGAATAATTTCCGGTCAAGGGTCAAATTAATAAACTTACAATCAGGAATCAAAATGCCATGATATAAAGAGTGGCGGGGGACGGATAAAACTCAAACAAAGTAGCATCATAATTACTGAGAATATTGACATTGACTGTGCAATTAGGAGTTTGGAATGTAGAAATAACAAAAACAGACAGGATCGTTGGATAAAAAATCCAGTGGGATCATAACTAATGTGACGAATAATTGTTTATGCAATCAGGGATAAAATATGTAGAAATAATAAAATGACAAAATAAACGGGAAGTTCTGATATGAAAATATGGTAGTGTAAATAGGAGGGATTAAGAAAACTTAAAATGACATGAATAAACAGGAAGTTTGGATAAGAAGGGCAATGGGATAGTCACTATTAGAAGAATTTCCTGTTTATGATGGTCATGTCAATGACAAGGTTTGGGCGTATTTCTTTTGGATACACAGCGTGGGTTTGAGCTTTTGGATGGCTAGCGCCTTGGCTATCTCCAGATGTCTTACTTTAACTCCCTTTGATAGGTTTGATCGAATCTTTTATATTAATTTGAAGGATTTTTCGAATGGTTCTGAATGTCGTGAAATTGAACAGATGTTCTGTCACTGAACTATATACACGATTTTGATTCCCTTTTACTAGCTAGGCTGGATAGTGTTCACAAGAGCGTTTTTCAAGTTGGCGCATGCTATGGCCGATGTACTCAGTCAGCTCTGCAAGAGCAAGTAAACTGGTATTTACACGTTGAAGTGGCTCAAGGCGACAGTTTGTCTTTCGTGATCTGGCTGAACAGTTTCTTGCAGGAAACTTCCCATTTATTACAAATACACGAATGTACAGCCTAGTTGACAGTGACGTCGTCGAGAAGAAAATTTTCTTGGCTGCAACTGTCTTTTTAATAATTGTATTATTTAATAATTCCCACTGTTGCATTAAGAACACAATATCCAGCGAAGTGACTCTTTTCAACGAATTTATTATCAACCTGTACAATCGTATGTATACTCATGTCGCTTTTAAGAAATCATATCCGGTGAGGGAATCACGTCACATCAAAGGTGGGAATACATGAGATAATAATAATAATAGTATGAAATGCAGTTGAAATATTTGTGATTCTAATCATAGTTAAGTGTCAAGTGACAAAAACCAATTAATGTCATATATAGAATAATTCATAAGATGGATGGATGTATAGATGTTGTTGGGATCGGATGTATAACTATAGGATTAGAAGACGAATATAAAATGTTACATAACATGGTGTGAAATTTGATAAGATAGAATTCGATATAGTAAAGATAAAAAATATAAAAACTAATAATTTTGGGTAGAGAATGACAAGTGCGTCAAGTGGAAGCAATTCAGAGTGAGAATAGTAGTAATAGTAATGATAATAATACTGCTACTAATAATAATCGTAGTAGTAAGGGAAAAGTACATTATTATTATTATATCGTTTAATTCCTAGAGGAACATAGGACTTCAGCTGCGCGTCTCCATTGCCTTCTGTTTTCTGCCAACTTTTTCACTCTCCAAACGCTTTCATCTCCTCCTCGCATGACCTCCTCCAAGTCACCCTTGCACTGGCGACCAACTCGCCGCTTCCCTTTCGGGTTACACTCGAGCGGTGGCCAGTCTTGTGATGTCACGTGACGGTTTTCTAAGAGTATGGCCAATCCACCTCCATTTCTTCCTGCTTATTTGTTTCACAATCGGTTCCTGCAGGGTTGGTTCGCTCATTGCCAGAGATCCCTGTTGCTGATCTTTTCTGCCTGGCAATCTGATCTTGATTAGTATTGAGCGAAGAAAACTGTTGATGAAGGTCTGAAGTTTGTTTGGGGTGCTCTTTATGACGCGCTGGTCAAGTCTCTGATCCGTAAAGTAAGTAGCACTGACTGACTTCACATTGGAGTTGTGTTATGTACTCGTCGCTGAATTATTGTTATGGACTGGTCGAGAAACTAATAGTCCTGACGCGAGAAGGCGGAAATCAGAAGACCACTAGGTTTGCGATGATACTTCTATTGTCCAAACACAAGGAGACGAAAATAAATGGTCTCACACCAAAGTGGTAAGTAAGTAAAGCAGTTGTAAAGTAAAGTAGTTCACACAAATTGTGAATGCGAATATATATAAATAATTCAGACAAGCGTGGGAAAAATCATTAGACAGTCTTAACATGAATGGCTAATTATAATGGAGTGTCGATCCAATTATACATAGCGAATATAGCAGACATGCCAACAAACATATATGGATATATGTCACCAAGCAACGGACTGTCAACAAACACTCATATTATATATAATATAATATAAGGAGAATACACATTATTAAAGGAGACAAGTCCATACAAGTGAAGTGGTCACAGACTAACCGAGCAAACAGAAAGAGAGACCAACATGCACACACACACATAAATATATATATGTGGATACATATCAAGTTGAAAATCCGGGTGTTATTTTTGATGCTGATTACTGTTGACCTCCACACAGACTTAAGGGTAATGAAAGCCTGTCTTGCTTTTCTGATTTTGGCTTTGATATCCTCGCCAATTCCGCCTGTAGTTGAAACGATAATTCCCAGGTAGGTAAAAGAGGTTGTTTCTTTCAGGTTCCTCTCATTTATGCTGATTGTTGTCTGTTGTTATTGTTGCTGTTGGTGGTGTTGGCCAGGAATCTTCATCACCTCTGTTTTCTCTATGTTCACTTGAAGTCCTATCTTTGATGCTTCTTCTGCCAGCTTGTTGCTTTTCACTTGCATATCTTCCAGTTTGTGGGAAATCAGAAATATATCATCATCGGTGAAGTCCAGATCCTCCAAGTCTCTTTTTGTGTGAGTCCATTTTATGCCTGTTCCCTCGTTGGTTGCCGTTGTCTGTCGCATTATCCAGTCTACTGCAATCAGGAAGATTATTGGCGATAGTAGACAGCCTTGCCTCACTCTCGTCCTCACTTCGAAGGCTTCCGTAAGTTTCCCGTTGTGGATTACTTGGAATGCAGCATTGTCGTATAACTGTTGGATGAGATGTATAATTGTCGATCGCACCCCGTAGTAGCGAAGTAGTTGCCAAATCACCTCTCGATCGACGGTGTCTGGTGAAGGCCTTTTCAAAGTTGATGAAGTTGAGATAGAGAGGTGACTTGTATTCCAAGCTTTGCTCAATGATGATCCGTAGTGTGGCGATTTGATCAAAACATAACTTGTTTCCCCTGAATCCAGCTTGTTCCGGTCGAAGTTTTGCATCCAGGGCTTGTTTGATTCTCTCCAGGATGATGCGGCTTAGTATTTCTTGGAAAAGTACATAAAATAACTAAATAAACAAAACAAAATAAATAAATGTCTATCCCTCTACGGTCAAGGCAGATGTAGGGATTGTACATACTTCTTTTGTACACAACGGTATGGCTTAAAGTCATGAATTACCAGGCAGTAACGAAGAAAATGCGGGAAGTTAGCATGGATTCTATATATGATCTTGAAATTATGGTCAGGGTTGACCAAGTGACAGAAGTCGACCAGGGGTTCCAGAATAGAGCTTCGCACGCTCTTCCTTTCTCCCTTGTAAAACCATGAAGCTGGAATATGTTCTCGTGTCCGTGTGGAAAGCGTCCTCTAACTACGGCCAATCTACCTTGCTCCACAACAGCAAGGTACACTAATTATTTTGCCACTTGATATTTAACTATGATTATAATCACAAATGTTTCAATTTTAATTGCATTTTATACCATTATTATTTCACCTTTGACCTAATTCTCTCACCGGATATAATTTCTTAAAAAACCAGATATATATGTATATAGGATTGTACAGCTTGATAATAAATTCGTTGTTGGTGAGAGTCTCTTCGCTGAATATTGTTTTCTTAATTGTATTTTATTCATTACAATTTTACTGCTTTTATCGTTTTTAGCCATCTGGATGGTTGGATGCTACATCTTTTGTTAATATTACCTCTGCGAATGCAGCACGTTATCTTGGCTTATATCCAGTCAAAGGTTGTCTCTCTCCTGGATCAGATGCTGATTTAATCCTATGGCCGTCTGATAGTATCACTCGCTGTGGTGTTGGAAAACCCGCACTGGTTATACATCATGGCAAGTTAATTGTACAAGAGGGTAAATTGATTGACAATAATAACAAAACTCTGAAAATTACACCGATCAATAAACTCAATGAATTTCAATCAAATCAACCATGCGGTTTATTGAAGACAGGGAAAACATTCCCACCAACTATCTATGGTTTGGTGAAAGCATCTGAAAGAGTAAGTGATGTTTATAATTTCTTTTCCTTCCTCGTGACAATTTCAGGGGTACAATGCTCGCCAATTACCTTAGTGGCCTTGGGTTCGATTCTTGGCCGGAAGCATTCCTAAACCTCCCATAGTTTATAGGCTTAGGAAAAAAAATGAAGATTGGATATGAGACAGGCGAGCAACTCTACCTCGTGAAAGTAAAACTGCTCCCGAAACTTCAGCTGTTTGAATCTGTATGTTCCCCTGGGGAATGCAGACGATGAAGTAACAAATTTGATTTTTTTTTCGGCTATAACACTTATTCATAAGTAAAAACACAGTTCTATTTGTTCAGCGAAGAAATTTCTTTTCAACGACTTCATTTTCAAGCTGTATTACAGTCGTATTTATATTACAGGAAAAGGTTATTAAGTGGCACTAAATAATTGCTCAGTCAATATACATATATATGTGATAATAATAACGATAATTAAGATGTTATAAGGCGTAGAGTTGAAGTGGATAAATTACAGAAATATTAAAGATAGTTTTATAAGTGAATTGATATCAAAAATGTCAAGTGTTGTCTAAAAATTTTAAAAAATTAGGAGTACGATTACGATAAGAATGAAGATGTGAAGTGAAGTGGAAAGAATTCAAGTGGTAAAATAAAATAAAATAAAAACTAGAAAGAACATTACTATGACCAAGGTAAAGAAAGGGGTTTAACAAAACGTTTTTGAACACATAATTTAGGTTTCTGTTCATGTATAGCTAAAGCTTCGGCTAGCTATGCATAAGTGAAGAAAACGTAAACTTTTGGATCGATTCGATCCTGCCGTCTAGATAACCTTGAAGGATGAATCACGTGGGGCTAAGTGACCAGACTCTAACAGGTGATCACAAATAGACGACTTTGCAGTTCTACGTTCGCCTTTGTTTAACCAAACCGGATAGTGTTCAGCTACACGTTTACGGAGAGTACGCTTGCAACGTCGAATATAATCAACTGCACAAGAACAGGTAAAAGAGTAAATGCACATAGATGTGGACAAAAGCAGTAATCTATCCTTGACGCATTGTCTAATCATATTTCGGCTAGTAAAAACTAGTTACAAATCAGCTGCAGGAAAAGTGCGTTTAATACATTTAGATAAACGATTTTTAATCAATTCAGAAATGGTGTCACCTTCGAATGCAAGACTCATAAACAGCTTTCTTTTTGGTACTGTGATTTGTTTAGGGGCGGATCCTTTCTTGATGTTACGTTCAATAAACCTTGTGAGATATCCATTTGATCGAAGATTATCTAGTTCACTACCGATTGTCTCTGTAGAGCATATTTTACGAATTCTGGAGCATAAGGAATGAATAAGATTTCTCTTTCTCCCTAAAGGTACCCAACTGTTGAAGTTAGTGTACTGCCCAGTGAATGTTGGTTTTCGGTAAATCGACCTTAACAGCGTGCCATTCGAAACGGCGAATTCGAATTTTCTTCGATCGTGAAACGCAAACATATCACTTATTCAAAGATGATCTACACAAATGTGGTTGAGATCAGTCTTGAAAATGGAATAAAATCTGAGATTAGATGTTTTCTTCGCCCTCCACTCGATAACTCGCTGAGATCAGATTGGGATTCAGTAGCAAAGGTGACCAATTAGAGAACCACTGAAAACTGAGCAGCGCATTGTAGTGCTGTTTTATTGTAGTTTGAGCCTGTTAATGTAGAGTGCACACAATGATCCCTGCTCATCTGTAACATTGGTGTATGGTAGCAGAACACATCCACCAGCAATGATGAAATCTTATCCCTAAATGGAGCACCTATTGAAATTGTGCCATCCTTCAGATATCTGGGATCCATAATGCTCCCCAACGGCCAAGCGAAAAACGAAGTGAATGCGCGAATCTCCAACGCTCGGAATGCGTTTCTACAGCTGAGGAGCGTTCTATGGAGCAAGAGAGAAATCAGTCTCAGGACTAAAATTCGGGTCTACCAAGCTTCCATACGACCCGTTCTCCTGTATGGCTGTGAAACCTGGCCTCTTCGCGCGGAAGATTTACGCAGACTCGAGGTATTAGACCATTGGTGTCTCAGGTACATTCTGCATGTTCGTTGGCAGGACAAACTCTCCAACGAAGAAGTGCGTCGTCGTTGCTACAACATCAACCAAATTCCAGTACTGGTCCAACAACGCCGCCTTCGGTGGTTTGGCCATGTTCTGCGCTGACCAGATGACGGTCTGGTCAAATCAGTTCTAAATCCCTCGCCATTACCATCTTGGCGATGTCGCAGGGGCGGACAGCTGAAGACATGGCTTGGTACAGTCAAGGCAGATATGGAGTGCCTGGGGCTACAAACCGTCTACGGACTCCGTATGTGGAACAAGAATTGGATATCCCTATCGCAAAACCTTGCTTCAGATCGCCGCGCCTGGGCAGCGATGATTCGAGACGTTCATGAAGCCGGCTCATCCTCCCGTAGGAGATAGCCGAAGTAAAGTAAGTAAGTAAGGTAGCAGAAGTTCGAGTCCAATACACGTTAGTGAAAAAGAGGAGTTGAGTAAATGTATTACAGTTGCGTAATAAGATGAATAATTTCAACAGATGAGTTGTAATCAGGATGGACATAGAAAATATGAGATTACGTAAGAGTTCTAAAGAGTTGAAAAATAAACAAATACAAAGTGATAAAGCATTTTTGCATTTCCCAATGAATGAAAATCAAACCGACAGTGTTGTGTTTACTGACGCTTCGCTATTTAATGCTGCTGCTAATAGCTTTATCAAAGTAGTATTATTAAAATAGAATTTACAAAATCTCCTCAGGTTGTACACAACAACCTAATAAACGTTCCTCAGCACGGGATCATTTTGCGTTATCAAGTTGACCAGACATCGCGAGAAATCAAAATCAGAAGAAATAAATACCGTAGAACCGCCTATATTCGACCACAGAGAAATCCGGTCGAATTACAAAAGCTTGAAAAATCATCAGCCACGCTGTAGAATCAGGCCACAAAATTGATTTTGGCGATATTGAAATCATCATCCAGAAAAATGCATTTCAGAAATCACAAATAATGTCTAATATCAAACGCCAGCACTTCATATCAAATGGAATCCAGCTTGCCTGGTGAATAGGAATGATAATGGACTAAAACAGAACTTGACCTAGTTACAACAACCCCTCCCCAGGCATGATGTAACAAAATCAACACGAATGTGAAAAGCAATTTTATTATGTTAACACACACTGCTTTTATAATTTTACACACATATCAAATTCAACAATCTACACCTGGTTTTGTTATCTTTACCAATTGGCCAATTTGACAACGGAAAAATGACTCCATGCTGATGAGTAACGATGATTAGGTTGTTGCATATAAGCTGAGGAGATTTTGTAAATTCTGGTTTAATAATACCAATTTGATAAAGCTATGAGAAGCATCAAACAGCAAAACGTCAGTAAAAACCACAACAATATCGTTTTGTTTTTCATTCATTGAGAAATACAAAAAACCTTCATTATAATGAATATCATACACTCAATGGCCACATTTCTTCAAACTTTTTTTAAAAGTGAAGTTGGTTTTGAAAATATAAAACACAAACTGAACTATTAGAATTCGATAGGTTCGTATTAAAATTTTCTTTTCTATGCATAGCTACAGTCTCTCTAATTGAATAGCTACAGCTCCAGCAATGCAGAAGAAACGGAAGTTACTCTGAAGGAGCAGTTTGTTAACACAGGTGGAATAGTCAGTGTTGATAAGGTGTCCAATAATAGTACTCCTTATAGAGTCACGTCTACATTTCTACAACCATACGGGATAGTGTTCTTGAAACTATATTTTAGACGGGATGCTCATCAAACTATGAGTATACCTGGCTCCACAGGAACATGTGAACTGATAGATATATATGCACACAGAAGTGGTTAAATGAGAGATCTACTCATTCAGACTTCTGCAAACCCAGCCGAAAACTGAAGAACACTACTCTTAGCATCACTATGAAGAATATTCTTCACAGAGATGAGGAAAATTTTCTCATAAGGATATCAAAGGTTAAGTTTCCCTTGGAAATCAAGTTCATGGTATAAGTGACGGTATGTTTCTCTGAAAAGAAAATGAAACTTTACATGAACTTGGATTTCAAAGGAGACTTAACTTGCAATGTCTTTAAGAGAAGAACATTCTTCTGATAACACTAAGTGTAGTGTTCTGAAGTAGTCCTGTATTGGTCTACAGAAGTTAGAATTGACCAGTCCCAACCCACTAACTGGATAGTCAATCGGCTTTCGTCGTAACTCATTGGTCCTAAGTTCAATGCCTGATGAAGTCATTGGTGTGTGCTGTTGAAGCAGTCAAATGAGAGATCTACACATTCAGGCTACTACAAATTCAGTGGAAAACTGGTGAACACTACTCGTAGAGTTGCTGTGAAGAATATTCTTCCTTCCTTCTTGTCTTAAGGATATCAGAGGTTAAGTTTCCTATGGAATTCAAGTTCATGGTATACGTAACACCATATTTCTCTGAAAAGAAAAAGACTTTACATGAACTTGGATTACAAGGGAAACTTAACTTGCGATATCCTTAAGTGAAGAATTTCATGAGTTTTTTGTTGTTGTTATTGAGAAGAACATTCTTTTGATGATATTAGTCGGTTGGAGGCAATCGGCAGGAAGGCTTGGACCTAGGTCAAATCAAAATATCTACTACAGTCCCACAGGAGGTCAATCGCGAGTCCGAATAGCTCAGTGGTAACGTCTTTGACTGCAGAACTGGGTGACTCGGGTTCGAATCTCAGAAGGGACTTGAGTTCCTTCAATGTGGTTGCAGATACGCCTTGCAGACTGGTGAGGCAAACAACCACAAAACCTAGGTCCAAGGCTTCCCGTGGCCGATTGCCATCAACCACCTAATATCATCAAATCAATGTGCACCGTGATGGCGAGCTACCTAGAATGATGGCCACATTACAACCTGACTGATAGAATTTAGTCTGCACCAATGAGAGGACTAGACACATCACACTAGTTACTAGTGTCAAATCAAGAAGAACATTCTTCTCTTAATACCAATAGTAGTGTTATGAAGTCCTCCATTGGTCTACAGAAGTTCGAATTCACGATTCTCAATCCACTAACTGGATTTTGTGGCAACCCAAAGGTCCTAAGTTCGATACCTGGTCAGGTCATTGGTGTGTACTGCTGAAAGATACCTACACTACGATGGAACAGAGTTGTTCAGCGCTCTTTGCTTTTCAGTGAATCAATCTCCTGATTGGATTTCACTTCACGACGAAGTATACACTGAAATTAATTCAACTATTTACAAAACGCGAAAATCTGGATTTATTAAGAGTTTGGTACATTGGGTTATTTGGTCCTATTCAATGATAGTGTATTCTTAAGTTGTTAAGAGGAGAATTTCACCACGATCACGTTTTCAAGTACTGTTTCGATGATGTGTTAATAGAGCTTGTTAGGGCTTAGATTAAGATAAGTAAGTGTAAAACAGCTTGGGCTCTTTGGTGGTTGAATGTGCAATTGCATATTTAGATAAGTTTATTTTGAATATCACACACACAGTGTTGATAATGCAGTATTAACAACTGGATGACAAGGTGTCGAGCATAAATTATTGCTCATAATCACATCAATTTTAGTCATACGGTTTCACAATCTGTCTTATTTTAGAGTTAGGATGATAGGAATTATTAAAAAGACGGTTGCAGCGAAGAAAATTTTATTTTCGACCAAGTCACCGTCAACTAGATAGCTGTACATTCGTGTATTTATGATGAGTGGGTGCGGAAGTTCCAGAATGATTTCAGGTCAAGGGTCAAACTGATAAAGTTACAATTAGGAATTAAAATGCCTATATAGGAAACTATATGCCTGCACTAGTAAGTACAAAAACTCATCCATATCCTACTTAGCTCGTGTTCTGTGCGATAAAGAAAGCATTAGGCGTGAAACCTTTAACTTATTAAATAGTCAGTAGAACAAATGGATCTCGTCTTTCCAACTCACATCATTTACAGGTACAACGTTTTTCTCTCTACCATTTTTTTTTCTGTATTTATTTTTGTTATATGCTGTTTTGTTTCTCTCTTCCTTACAAACTCTACTTAAAACATTCTTGTTCGCTCTTTCACACTCTGTATATCTCGACCATTTCGCTATCGCTTACGCCAGTAAATATGCTAGTAGTATCTACTTTTCTAACACCTTCAAACACTCTGTTTAATTTTGGCTTTGCTACCGACATGCTAATATGTTGTTGTCAAAACTGACTGAGATAACTTTAATCTATGTAGAACTTTATTTATTGTTAATGTACTAACTGGATGCAATATTGTAGTAAACAAAAATGCTGAGAATTCCATTCTGTATCACAAGTACTGTTTTGGAATAAACCTATTACCTTATCTTATCTTAAAACACGAGGTGGGGCACGGATGAAACTCAAACAAAGTAGCATCATAATTACTGACAAGAATGACATATTGTGCAACTGGAGGTTAGAAATGTAGAAATAACAAAAATAGACAGGATCGATGGATCAAAAAACCCAGTGAGATCATAACTAATGTGACGAATACTTGTTTATGCAATTAGGGATTAAGTATGTAGTAATAATAAAAGAAATACGTTCAACCCTTATCCCTGCCATTGACATCATAAACAAGTAATTCTTTTAGTAGTGACCACCCCATTGCCTTTCTTATCCAAACTTCTTGTTTGTTCATGTTAATTTTAAGTTTCTCTTAATCCCTCCTATTTACATTACCATAATTTCATATCCGAACTTCCTGTCCATTTGATCATTCTATTATTTTTACATATTTAATGCGTGACTGTGTAAATAATTATTCATCACATTAGTTATGATCTCACTAGATTTTTTATCCAAACATCCTATCTATTTTTGTTATTTCTACATTTCTGACCCCGGATTGCACAATCAATGTCAATCTTCCCAATAATTGTCATGCTACTTTGTTTGAGTTTTATCTTCCCCCCCCCCCACCTCTGTTTATAATGGCATTTTAATTCCTAATTGTAATTTTACTAATTTAACCCTTGGCTGGAAATTATTCTGGAACTTTCTCACCCATTTATCACAAATACACGAATGTATAGCCTATAGTTGATGGCTTCGTCTCTGCAACCGGCGTTTTAGAGTTAGGATTAAAATTATAATTAGGGTTGATATAAGAGCTACAACTCTCGGTGGCACCATGGTAAAATCCTCTCCACAAGTGGTCTGGGACTCAATTCCCGGCCATAGACACACTCCTTTACCTCGCTAAGCCAGTAATAAAACTGGTAATGAGGAAATGTTCTGCATGAGGCTAGCAATCCTATGCTGTAAAAGTATAACAAGCACCACTGCTCCCGAAACTTCAAGCCTCTAGCTTGTGAAGCCCTATGTTCTACTTGGAACATAAAGGAATAAAAAAAGGGTCACAATTAGGTTTAGGGTTGGTATCACTTATCTTTACTATCCGCATTTTACCTCGTAAAAATAGTCGTCAAACCTCTTACTGGAACCCATACTAATTAAATTGAGGGCTGCAAAACAAACTAAGAGAGAAATGGGTTATCTTATATCAATTGGTTTTTAAGAAGTTACATCCGGTGAGGGAATAGAATCATAGGTGTGAATGCATAAAATAATAATAATAGCGATAGTATGAAATGCAATTTAAAATTAAAAATGTTTGTGATTATAATCATAGCTAAATGTCAACGAGGGGTAAAACAATTAATGTCTTATATATAGAATAATTCATAGGATGGATAGAACTTGGAAGAGGTGTGCAATTATGGGATTAGTAAACAGATAGAATAAAATTTAAAAAAAAGTTACGTAATATTGCATGAAATTCGATAGCATGAGAACCTAACGTTGCAAAACAGAATTGATTTAGAATGACAAGTGAAATAATACCGGGGACAGCTCACAGTGAGAATAGTAATAGAAACAATTGATATAATAAAGGAAGAGTATACAAATTGAAAAAAATTGGTAGAGCCAAAATATGAATGTTGTTTATCATAGAGGAATTAAGACCATGAAAGTTGAAGGGGTTGAACGAACTTTTTCTATATACACAAATGTGGCTTTTCTGTTTCGATAGCCAAAGCTTCAGCAATACAGATGAGTCAGGTATGTAGTAATTTGGATGAATTAATGTTTGCCTTGTAGGAGGAGGCTATAAAGATATGGTATTCATTATCGACCATATGTTCAATGATCACACTTCTTATTGGTCCACTTCCACCTCTTCGTTACGACGCAGGAAAGTGTTTTTGCACTGTCTTGGACAAACCTCGAGTCAAACGATCGATATACCTAGCTCCACAAAAGCAGGTGAATTGACAAACTCACATAGAGTTGGTTAACAGCGAGATCTTGTCCTCTTTTTCTGATTGGCTGGTTCAAGGTCATTCGTGTGTTCGCACCCCATGGATCGTTTAACTTTGCCGAGAAGTCTAACTTATATGTTCAGAAGAATTTGGTTCAGACACCTTCCCTACGTAGGCCAAAATTGTTTTAATTATCTTCAGTTGTCGCATAAATTTCTGTTATTTGTTCAAGGTTATTTGATGGTCACCATAATCAACAATCTTTTAATATTACCACAATTTTACGAATAATTCAAATTTGTGGTCCATTTCGATGTCTTTTAAAAAAACTAACCGTAATTATTTATCATCTCAACAGTTGCGTAAAAGAAATCAAATGCCAATAGACCGTGAACCTTGGACAATGAACAATTTAAATGAAACGGTGATGTCTTCCCAACAGTCTTCTAATACATTAAATAATGGGACGAATAATAATGCAATTGTAACGCCTAATTCAAATGATGAACAGAAAATTACAGATAAAGTACAAAATTCAACGTCATCGCTTAATGTACGCACAATCCATGGACATAGAGATTTACACGCATCTGGATTCTCCTTAAGCGGTTAGTTATATTGTACATATTCTGAATACTCTTTAACACACTGTAATGATTTCACACATAGACATTCATATTCAGTAGTACGCAGCAATCATCCACTGTCAGGTATTGACCCGAGGACTTTCAAATTTACAATGAGAGAGCGTAGACCATTCAGCCAATGGGGCGGAACCGATTCTAACTTCTAAGTGACCACCTCCAGCCAATGTCAAAGGCGATTATATGTCTTCAACGTGGTGGATGATCCCACTGATAACGCCAGTTTAGTGCGAAATCACCCCAAGTACCCAGCTAGCATATAAATATGTGTACCCTTATTGTCAATGTGTGATAGGACAGTTTGGCCACATGTGGTCCGGGGTTCAATCCCCTGCCACAGACGCACTCTCACACCTCGCTAGGCCAGTAGTAAGACTGGTAAAGGCGGAAGGTTGGGCATGAGGCTTTCAACCCCACCTTGTAAAAATAAACACCACTGCTACCAAAAACTACAAGCCCTATTTTCCACTGGGAACGTACAGGAATAAAAATTTTAAAAAATCAGGATCCTTGAACCGAAAGCTCGTTTCTAATTGAGTTTGTGGATTCGAATACCAGCCACTTCTGTTCCTGCCCGCTCTGTTAAGAATTCTCCGCAAAGTTTCCAACGTCCCTTCTTTGTAAGGAAGTACTGTTGATGGTTTAAATCCCTTATTGCTGGTGTTGTCATTATCCTGTGCATATTTGACATGCATGTCATCATTATTATCCTTACCATTGTTAATTCTACTCTTGTATTCCCCTACATAATTCCTGATTAATTTATCAGAGTAATTATTAATTAAGTCCCAAAGCTTCGCTTATATGCCTCACTTCCTGCATTCGATTTCCCTTGGTACTACCTAGTTTAAGTGCCCTATTAATTAAACATTTCATCAATCCTATTTTTCGTGACATAGATAGGGTGGGATGATTGGAAATTCATATATCGGTGTGAATGCGTGACTTTCCTGAAACACCTGAGAAATTCTATCACTACAACCTAAGACGACAAAAAGGAGGGAGAGAAAAAGAAACCCATAAAACTCAAGTTTCAAAGTCGTGTGATTATCATTGAGAATATGATTATGAACAGTAGTAAATTGTCTTAATTGAATTTTAAATTTTCCCGCCGATTGATTGAACCGAAGTGTGTTCGGTCTCAGGTTGACATATGTCTGTTGGCTACTTGTGCAGATGTTTCGACACTGCCTGTTGGATGATGACTAGCAGTGGCCCAAGTTGTCTAATGGATAACGCTTTGGCTTTCGAAACTATGGGCATTGGGTTCGAGCCTCGATGCTGGGAACATCCATCTAGTTGACCAGTCCCGAATAGGACGAAATGCTCATCCTGGATTCCACTGCTAGTCACCATCCACCAATTAACTTCTAAGTAGTAAATTGTGTTCGAAATATCATCCAGTAATACTGTTTCACTGACCGTGTGTGATATATCTAATAAACAAATTAATATGGAATTATTGTATATTCTCTTCTACATTTTGTTAAAAAATAAATCCTCTTGAATTGTTTGTTGTAGGTGCACAAGTTGACGATGATCAACCACTGAGAACAGGGATACGTACACGACAGACAAGTGAATCAAGAAATCCATTATGGTAGACTAATTTTCTTGATTTTTATCGACTGAATTCAATCGATTCATTAATTGACTGATTGAGTGATGATGCCATAGACAGATAGATAACATTTTTTTTATTATTCATCTATCATATTCACTCACTTGTTCAGCCTCTTTCTCTCTGTCTCTGTTGTGTGTCTATATCATATACACACCACTACCTACCTACCTACCTTCTTGTTCTTCATCACTACTCATTTACTTACTAACACCTATTACTACTACTACTACTACTATTGAACACTATGTTATCCACTACTCGTCCACTGCATCCACCTCGTATATTCATCATTCTTATAAATCATCACACATTTTGATTATATATGTATAAGTAGATATATATATATATTGAGATAAACACGACATATACAGCAAAATTTGCAAGCATATATATATAACATTATTACTCACGATAATAATAATAATAATGAATTGAATATATTCACACAAAGTGCCTTCCCCTCTGTTTTACAACTGTTATCAAGCGGGAAAATAAGTAGAACCGTACATATAGATAAATAGATAGATAGTTTAGAGAATGTCCGTAATCACGATTATGCATTGACAACAGCAAAAATAACAGAAACAACAAAAGATTTTTTTTTAAAAAAATGCGCAATAATACGTCTGTTTTATCTGGTTTTCAAAAATGGGAGCAGACCCTCCTCCTCTCCCTTGTGAGGCCCTCCTCGAGTGATGAAGACAGGGAATTAAAGGCCGCGCACATACGCGAAAATGAATATCAAAAATAAACATGTAGTAAAAGAAAAAAGAAGTATCAAAGCAGTAAGTAATACTACTAGTCGTCTAAAGGCACCGAGAAATGCAGAATGAAGAAGCACAGCGATCTATTGCGTTATTTATTTATGTTTTAATAGAAAATGCAGTAGTTAGCCCCCTTCTCAGCCCCTCCCTCCCCCGCAGTGATGAAATGAGCAAGGGACACACCCACGCACAGACATACAGCACACAGATAAAAATGGACACTTACACAACCCTCCCCCCTACCAGCTTTTTGCACTATTTAACATCAAGGTGAAAGAAAAATTCGACCCTGAAAAGGGAGAGGGCAAAGTCTGTGTGTGTGTGTGGTGCTGTGTGAGTTCACTGCACACAATCACGCACGCACACACATACATACATACACAAAGACACAACAACGAGTATATATATATATGAGAGAAAACATTAAAAAGTAAAAGAAAAATCGTTGAAAGGCACTGAGGAATGAAGAAGGCAACACAGTGATTATCGTTACAGAGATTTAAATGCAATAGTCACCACCAGAGTGATGAATAACGGGGCAGCAAGGTATGCACGCACAAACGCACACATTCGTTAACCGTCAAATGCGTGCGCTCCTTGTCATCAATATCAAGCGAAATGGAAAGAAATAGTAGACGCCTCCTCTCTCTCTCCACACACACACACACACATACGCATAAGATAATGAATATAAAATACTGAAATAATTGAAGAAAATACAAATATAGTTTTCTGAGCCCAGAGAAAAACTAAATACCAAGACAATCGAAATCATAATATTCGTGTAAAGGCACCTAGGAATGAGAACCTGAATTGGAATGAATACACACGGCGGTTATTGATTGACACCGAGATAAATAAATATAAATAACTTTTTTGAAAAAAAATGCAGCAATTACCAACAACAAAAATGAATAAAGGCACTAAATTAATCGTCAAATACAAAAAGTAGGTGATATAAAAAAGAGGCAAAATACAGAGAAAAATAAGACCCAGACAAAGACCAACAGTTTGTTGGCAATGAGCACTAGTAGTAGTGCTAAGTAGTACATAAATACTACCCACATCTACTACTTATAATAGTAGTAATTAAAAAAATTGACGTCAAAAAATACTCTAAGTCAAGTAAAAAAAAATAATAATAAATGCCTTCTTTTGAGGTAAGCTTTCACCACAATAGTATTTGTAGTAGTAATAATAATAATGGTAATACAAAAGCTTGGAATGAAGGTAGATACGTCTTTCGACAAAATGCAGGTAGGACCCTTCGACTTCGAGTCTTGCTGAAGCGTGTTTGAGATGGGGAAAAAAACATAAAAAGAAGACAAGAAATGCTGCTATCTGTACACTTGTCTACACACCTAGAGTGAGAGTCACACAAAATAATTACCATTTGAGCTAGCAGTTAACTGAACACTGACATTATTCTTTGGTATTCGTTGTCCAGACGCGTCAGTCGATATTGCCACGGGGATAGAATCTGTACCAGTTGAAAGAGATGTTGTCATTATTACCACAGGTGTATTACAGTTGTCCCAACAGTTATCCGTCGTCTTATTCGTACTATCCACATTATCATGATTATTATTATTACTCTCAGTATTCTTCTGTTGACTAGAAGTATTACTGTTACTCTGACTGTTACTATCCGCGCTACTACTACAACAACCAGCTAACGCTAAACCAGTCATTGCAGTATTTATCCCAAGACTTGTATTGGCTGGTTGATTTTCAATATCATCAATCCATGAGTCAGCTGCTTCATCGTCGTCTGTTGTCGCCGCTGCCTCATCTTCATAAGTGATAAGGCTATCGTGTTCATGAAATAATGACTGTTGGAGTGTCTTTTTTCTATTAAGTGATTTTAAAAACGGGGACTCTGGTTCATGGGCATGGTAATGATGATGATTGACAACACGCACCAATTTCGGAGGGGAACAAAATACTGTTGCTGGTATGGATGACGACGCTGATGATGACAGGGATTTTGGCGGTTGTGATGGTATTGGTGGTGGAGGCCGTGAAATTTTTGTCGATCCTCGTGTTGCTGCCATCGCCGCTGCTCCCCCCTCCGCTGTCACTAATGATGATGTCGAAGAACCATATCCAATCTGTTGTTGACTAGAACGAATTGTTTGTGAAGTTAACCGACCAGTTGACAATGTTTTTTTCTTTTCATTGATAACACAGGTATTTTCTTGTTCATGAATACAATGAAGCGATGAGATGGTTGATGGTCCAAGAGAATAACGACTACTTGGTCGAATGTGTGAATGATAACGATTATCAGACGCCTGTGAGATGATAGCATTTTGACAACGTTCTGAAATTCGACCACGAGGATAATTTGGTTTTGTAGAAATATTTGTTGCTGTTCCACGACTACTATTAGCATTACTATTATTATTACTATCACTAAGAGTAGTAGACTGATTTGAAGAAATCTCTGTTCGGCAAAGAGAGACATATGGAAGACATTCAGTAACGCTGCTAATACTATTATTATCGGTAGCAGAACTCTTCACCACCTCTTTTGGGGCCACCGGTATCTGTGAGACAGTATTTTCTTTCGACTTTCGACCAGTTTTGTGATTCATTGCATCAGTCTTCTTAATTCCTTTATTTGAACAATTAGATTTCTACATAATAGAAATAAAAAGAGCATAGTTAAATTCTAACTACTACTACTATAACTACAATGTGTATGTGTTGAGGGCGACATTATTATTTATGACGATTAGGCGGAAATTCGTTTTCCCTTAGACTGATAAGAAGACACTAAAAGCTTTGAACTTCGAGACAGACGCCCTATGTCTAATTTCACACAAGCTCGAAGACTTACAGGCGAAGACCAACGAGCTGGCAGGAGATGCATGCAGTGAAGACAAGACTCCAGGTAAACAGAGAGATAACCAGCCAACCAACGGCAACAACATCAACCAGCACCGATCACCATCAACGGAAGAGATTTGTCAAGCATAGCGAAAAGGTTCGGATTTTCAACACTAATAATAATAGTAAGTCAGTCATTTCTTTTATATGAGTGATAAACTTACACTAAGTGTCACGAAGAGCATTTCCAACAAGCCAATGAAGACTTTTATCAACAGCTGTCTTCACTAGGCTCCATAATGACAATCAGATGGCCGATCAGAAAGAATAAGCGACAAGAAACTCTGGAAATGAACTAATGAAAAATCTATCGCTCAACAAATATGCGGGAGAAAACGAAGGTGGGTAAGACACACACTGAAGAGACCAAATCCTCGAGTGAGAAAAAACGAGTTGGGTGTCCGAGGATAATATGGAGATCGTGAGAGGAGGGGAGGAGATCTTATTGGAGGTCATGGATTCGGTTGAAGAGGACCGCAGAGAACGAGACAAAACGTGGATATGCTGTTGAAACCCTATGTTCCACTAGGAACACAAGTGATTACTAATAATATTATAATAATAGAGACTCCCTGCGCTTGTGGTAGATAAATGCTCCATAACAAATCAAATCCATTCTGAATGAATATTAGATGGTTGGGGGTAATCGGGAGGAAGCCATGGATACTTAAGTTCCTTGCTTGTTAACACATTCGGTAGCAAGGTGTATCTACAACTTTGAACAAAAAATCGCCCCCCCCCTCACTGAAATTCGAACCCATTCACATCACGTAATACTGAAGTCAAAGACATCATCACTGAATTATTTGAAATCACGATTGACACTCCAAGTAGGACTGCTAAGGATACAATGATTCGTTCCCAATAGAGTAACTAACCAATGACAGGCATGTTATGCTTCAAAATGACCAGTTTGAATCCCAGCAAAGTATAGTCGACAGTCCCTCATGTCATAGATTTAACTTACAGACTACGATGTAAACATTCATCGACTGAACAGTATTTTAAGACCAATCTTTGCGAACAGTCATGCGGTATGGAACAAAACTTACCATGTGTAAAGTACAAGCCCAATTCGAGGTGAAACCACACCACAGCCACCTCCAGCGTCGGTCAGTAAGGCTTACCAACCAGATAGCTGTCTTGCTTCTTTAGGTCACGTTTTTCAGAGGTGTGTACTTGGATTGACTCAGACCAGTGAGTCAAATTAGTTCAGACTACTTAAATTCTAACTAGTCATCTGGGTGAACTACCAATTTCATGAAATTAGGTCGGTTATTTACCAAGTACACAGTTGTCCCTCTTTTGCCTCCGTCGAAAGAATATAAATCGACCAACTGGTTACCAGCAGCTTTACACCGACTGGCACCATTCGTTCTCAGATTCAGGAGTCTACCTAATTCCAGCGGAGAACAAGTTCATTTTTCTGTAGTTTGAAGTTTCAATATAGAGATGGGGTTGTTTTTTACGGGATAGAGAGTTGCTAGTCCCATGCCTAACTTTCCCACCTTCCTGGGCTTTAAACTGAGAATTCGCAGAATTTGGAATTCATGGGCTGGTCACTTGACCTGGTCCCAGTGGCCTAATGGCCGACGAGCTCGCCTAATGACCACAAGTTCCTGGGTTCGGACCTTGACAACAGGTGCATGCTGTTGAAGAGTCCGAAACTATGACGAAACAGCTCTAACTGATGTCAGCTCATTTTGAAATCTTGTAGCCAGTCAAATCCCTACAAAACAACATTTATATACAGCATTTATCCACACAACGCTTAAGTCTTCAGATTAATATCAAGTTAATATGCCATGTTAATATATCTGTTTAAACACTATGAAATTTACCTCTACAACACCCATAACTGTTCGACGACGAGCAGTTCGCCTATGTCTAACCACCACACCACCACCACCCCAACTCGTCGGATTTGTTCTCCCTCGACTACTACTACTATCACCACCTGGATTTTGTGGAGGTATATTTTCCGACTGCATTGGAGCAGGACTTTTCTGTATACTATGATATTCAATTTTCACAGGATTACTACTACTACTACTAGTGGTAATGGTCGTTTGATTTAATTCTGTCAAGCATGATCGAGTAGACTGAGTAGTATGTCGTCGAATCGATTTAGTTTGTTGTCGTGTAACTGGTCGTCTAGGCGGTTGTGGTATTAGTGGTGGTGGCGGCGGCGGCGGTGATGATGATGATAATGCTTCTGGAAGATTTGTAACTGCAGTGTATGTTGTTGTTGTAGATGTAGACAGTGATATCTCTGGTGATATTGATATCTCATTGGTAGTATTATTGATCATAGGCATGTCAGAGTTACTTGAAGGTGGAATGCCTGGATTTATGGTAAAGGCATTATTATGAACTCCTATGAGATGATTAGAAGTAAAATTCACTATATTTGGTAAACTTTGTATATTAGTATTATTGTCATTATTATTATTAACTGGGAGAAGAATACGACCATCAACTTCGTCGAAACCAATGCTGCCAACGCCAGCGGCACCGGTACCACCAACAGCAATACAAGGTAGTAAATGTACTGCAGACGACGGCATATTATTATTATTATAACCATTAATAGTTTGCTGTAAATACGATGACAATGCAGCTGCACATGATTGGTTAGGATAAACAGTATTCATTGTATAACACGTTGATAGTTGTAGTCCAATGGTTTGTGTTGCAGGCGGATTATTAAATAATGGTCTGCATAGAAAAGTTTCATTATGTGGAATGCTATTCTGATTAGATATATTCGTGATGGTGGTGGTGTTACCACATTGGAAATATGGTAGCGAAAGAGCATCGAAGGCTGTAATTCTTTTTCTTGGGTCGAATTTAATCATCATCTGTGGGTGAATAGACAAAACAGAGGTTATATAAACCCTAAAGTACTATTTTCAAGAGAAAAAATAACAGCCTTATAAGCGCTATTATATACAGATACATCTTTAGTAGTAGACATTAAAAAAATATACTGTTACAGAATAAATGATCGATCTGGTAGTCAGTCGCCCTCACTTTGTTCTGCATTATTTCAGACAGTGACAGAAACAAGGGAATTTTGTGAAAACTATCAGTGATTTCTGTAAAATGATGCTACAGGATTGGACTCGCTCCTAGCCTTGAAATAAGGGAGTGAAGTTGTATAGCACGTTGACCAACGCTTCACTTAGTTGGGAAGTTGCATCAGCCAGCCACAGCGGGTTGATCCACTGATGGAATCTCACAGCACGGATACAGAAGGCTCGTTTGGTATTTGCCAAATGACACCATCTCTAACTTGGTTGACATGATATCCAGAGCTGGCTGTCAACCAAAGGAGGTCTGTATTGCTCAGCAGTCCGCTCCGTCCTCCTTTATGGCTGTGAGCGAGACATGACCATTGAAAGTGGAAGACGTAAAAAGGCTGGCTAGCTGTCTTTGATCATGGGTGCTTGCGTTCTATCTCCTGCATGAAGTGGTATAATAGGGTGAGCAATATTGAGGTTAGGAGTCGAGTGCTAGGTAAAGAGGGGAAACCAAGGGACAAGGTTGTGAAGTCAGGACATGTGTTACGTATGCCTAGCCATCGTCGTCCTAAACAGGCAATGTTAGCTGACATAGAGTCAGACTGGAAAAGAGCCAGTGGTGGTCTAACTAAAACACGACTTCATCAGTCAATGAAATCTACAACAGTTAGTTTAAGCCAGTCATGTAGGAAGATGTAGACTTCCTGACTGGTTGGGGTCCTAGGGATGGCAAAAACCAATGAAGGCTGAAGACAATCGGTGATATAGCTCAAAAATAGTTCTTGATGATGGGTCAGATGCATCCACTATTTGTGACTTATAGTATTCAATGTCACTATAATGTTCCTTGTTATTACTATTTTTATCTCATATCTCTGTTTACTGTCTCTATTTTGCGTTTCTTTTTTACTTTCTACTCTTGCTTTGTGTGCTACAAGGAGTGGAGTGTGGCGACTTGAACTGCTGCACATTGGTGCAAAATAGTTCTATGTTGAGGCCACTCAGACAGCCAGTCAGTGTTTTCTGTTCTGATCTATGATCTGCCAGTATCTCGAGCTGTTATGTGATCATTAAAAGATCACAATTTGAGGACAATTATCCTTCACTCCATGATGATATCACAAACCAACATATCACTTTTACTTTTTATAACCAAATTACCAGGTCTAAAAAGCTGTGAATAATATGAAAGCCGCTGGTATAGTTAGCAATAATACGGATGAAATACCCCAAGAACTATTTGGTTTAGTCCGCCAGATGATTTTCTTTTTTTGTCCTTTCAATCTGCAGTATGAAGAATTCAAAAAGTTCTTATAACATACTTATTAAAACACAGATTTGTCATACTCATAGTTTGTCCGAGGGTTGGGATACTGCCCGCATTCCCATACCGAATCAAGTAGTTGTCCTGACGACTCAACTCCCCCCCCTCACAGCCCTTGATTTTAAGTCTGGTCTGCAAGGATATGGAATGGCGTCAGGAGCTTTATGTCCCACAGTTTCCGTTGATTAAAACAGGTTCATACTCCATTTGATCCTTTCAGATTCTGGAGCCCGTGTACACGACTGGTTTGGAATCAGGATTTTTCAGCACCCATAAGTAGACCCACACCATGTTCACAAAGGCAGGCTGTAAGCTCCAGATGTTCGAATTTACCCTATCACTTTTGTGAGGAACACACCTACCGCATGAAGGTAGTGAATACGACTCACTTGGCAGAGACCATGAGGGCATGGCCACATGACAGCATTTGTAGAGAAGGATCAAAGTTTTCCTGAACTGAGCTATAACAGCTGTTTCGTCCTAGTTTGGGACTCTTCGGCAGTACACACGCATGACCTTACCATGGATCGAACCCAGGACCTTTGAGTTGCAAGGTGATTTCGCTCATCATTTAGCCAATGAGATTTAAAAGGCTGGTCAAGAGAAATTCTTCTTTTTAGAACACCGACGCACACCCTCTTAGTAGTTAAGACACAAGTCAACATTTTAGTCTAAAATCTTAAAAATGTAAAGTAGTACTACGAATAAGTATTGTCCCCAGTGATCACATAATCTCAACACGGCTATGAACGATGATTTTCATTAGAAACGTTAAACAATAAATGTTTCTGTCCCACTGTGATACACCTAAATAAACAAATTATGTCCTAAACTTATATCACATCATTCAAATACAATTCATGAAAAGCGAACCTCAATTTAAAAAAAATGGAAGTGGAGAACAGAATGAATATCAAATCGGTTGCTAAGCTGTTTAATTGCACAGTCATTCAAGACACTGTAAATACCCGAACTAAAGTACTCCTGTAAAAGCTTGGGGAGATTTGTCATCTGAAATGATGACAATCAGTGATGTCTACCCCGGATGCCCAACGTCCTCACTAGTCCTGCAGCAGCATCTTACATTTGACAGGAGCAAGTCACATGCCAAACACTCGAAGATTGTTGCTCAAGGTATTCAGACGACTCTGCTCTATTTTGTCATCGTCTTCACCTAGAAAGACCATGCCATCTGCATATTCTACACTATACAATTCTGTATATTCATTTAATATATGTTTTTGAGTCGCCAGTGGGTCAAATAGCGAATATCCTTCACTAACACAAAGAAATCGATTAGTTAATAGAACGATAGCGTAGAATAATTAGGTTACATTAGTATGGATCTGCACATTAGTGAGCATACTTCATACAACTAACGTCAGCTATGACATAGTAGATAGTAGGCTTGTGAATGCAACCACACCTCGCTTTTACCGTAGTACAACATCCTGTTTGTCTTTCGTCTGTCTGACTATTGCTACTACTTTGAGTCATTTTCCTCACCACTGCTTGCAACATTGTATTGATGTGATCTGGTAACCATCACGACAAAATTCCGGGATGATCTTGAGGGACATAAAGTAAGTAACAATAGGTGTTGCATATGTTTTGTTGTCACAATTTAGTGCCGATCTGTTTTTAAACTTTTGGTAGGTTTAGGCCTAGGTTCAAGGATTTAATTACAACGTCTTAACAAAACTCCATCTTACATTCATTTACTCTGTATGGGTTGTTTAGTGCCACTTAGTGGCATTTATTCTGTGACTTAGTAACAAAACACGGTTGTGCAGAGATGCTGGGGGCGAAAAATAATTCACCTGCTTGACAACATTCGCTAGTTATAATTAGTAGGAAAAAGGTTAATTTACTAGTCACATATTTTACACAAAGCAATACAAAAGCTATAAGATTAATAAAAAAACTACATACTTCAAGCAATTCAAGTGCATGTCTGTCTTTAGTTTTAATGCATGAATGTAGCTGACAAGTTGGAGAATTCGACTCAAAATTGGACCGTTTTAAAAATGATCGCGTAGGCCACTCACACTGAGGAGGAACTCCGATGACTCTAAATTTCAACCAATGGTTAGCAAAGGGAAAAAGACACAACTTACTTGAATATAAGCTTCAACATTTCTATCTCTGTATCAGCACGAAAAAGAGCCTGAAGATTGAATAATTCAGCTATAATACATCCTGCAGCCCATATATCACAAGGTGATAAATATTCAGACTGAATTAAGATCTCCGGTGATCGATACCATAATGTTACAACAACCGGTGTAAGTGAAGACTCCCAGCCTAGAACACGAGATAAGCCGAAATCAGTTATCTTAAGTCGTAAAGTTTCTCTATCGATAAGAATGTTGGCTGGCTTCAAATCACGATGAATGATACGATGTGAGTGGAGAAAGTCTGTGCCACGAAGCAATTGACAAGATAAGTGCTGAAAGAAAACAGAGACATAACATTAAAATTGATATTCATTAACTTCGCCCTATGAATTGCTAACTTAGTTACAAACAGAAGATACAGATACTTTGAACAATTTAGTAGAGAATGTTACTAAACTACATGGAAAAATTAAGAGTGCCATGTGATTTGCGTAATCGTGAAGCTTCAATATCTCGCTACAGTTTCCAAAAGGATCTCAAAGTATAGCTATACTCAAGAATTATGTTCGAATCTGATTCTTTAAGCTACATGGCAACAGTAATTTTCCGAAGTAATGAATATATGCCACAAACACCCTTCCCAAGTTTTTAAACATGGTATTTTTCTGAAAGATATTTCTCCTCAAATCAACACTAACCGGAAAGCTGTTGCTAAGCCTCATACAAAGATTTCGTCAAGAAACTCTGGATTTATTCTTGAGTTATTAACTACAGAGGTGTTATTCTGTCTGTCTGGATTCAACATAGAACTTGGCACCGAAGTACAGCAGTTCCAGTCGCCACCTTCCAAATAGCACACAAAGGTAGACAAGAAGATGAGTGAAGAGAATCAATACAGTGTGACAAGTATAAGAGTGAAACAGAATGAGTAATGGTAGGAAGAAATATGAAAGATTACAGAGACTAAATACATCTGCGCCATTGACAACGATTTTGAGCCATGTCACCTATTGTCTCCAGCCATTGAATCTTAGAGTCCCGAGGGCCCCAGCCCGGAAGTCTGCATCTCCCTACCTGGCTCAGTTTAACTATCAATGATTTCATGGATTGATGAGGCCATGTTTTTGTTTGGCCACCAATTACTCTTTTCCAACCCGCACCTATATCAGCTAGTAATGCCCGTCGGGGGAGGCCATGGTTAGGCATGCGCAGCACGTGACCTAGCCATCTCAGTCTATGTAACTTTATAGCCTCGTCGATTGATTTTCCCTCTTTGCCCAACACTACGCCTAACGTCAACATTACTTACCTTATTAAACCACCTAGCGTGAGAAAGAGATCGTAGACATCTATGATCAAAAACAGTCAACCTTTTCATGTCTTCAACTCGTATTGGCCATGTTTCAGAGCCATAGAGAAGGACGGAGCGAACTGCTGAGCAGTACACACGTCCCTTGGTTGATAGCCGGATGTCACGCCTACGCCAGGGGTGGTGTAAGTCAGCGACAGCAGCTCGAGCTTTTTGGATCCGTGCTGAGATTTCGTCGCCAATCAGTCCGTTGGCGAGTATTATTAGCAATTAGAACACAAGCAAAATACTTTTGACTAAATCACGAATTGCCTAATGACCATCTCAATATAGTGTCGGAGAAAGAGGCTTACTTTGATTGATTCAGGAGATAGACCAGTATGGGGTGCATGATTAGAAAGAAATCGGGCCAAATCACAATCGACATATTCAAAGACTATGTAGATTGATATTCCGGTTTGATCTTTTTTCAGTGAAATATCAAGCAGCCTGAAGAGAAAGTATTAACAATTATTCACACCTACTGTATAAGGTATGGACAGTTGTATGATTGTACCTTCTTCAGAACACTAATTTCTCGAAGAGTGCTTAAAGGTATACCCTCATCATTTGACGGTATTAGTATCTCTTTCAACGCCACCGTGGCACCATTCATAGAAGTTCCTTTGAAGACGCGTCCATATGCACCCGACCCAAGCAGAGTGGACACCCGATAATTACTCCTGAATGGGAATGTATCATAGCTGCTCATCAGTGACTGAAAATTGTCACCACCTCAAATACATAACGCATGCACCGTAGATGGCGCCTGTCTTTTAACGTTCAACTCCTTTCAAGGTCAGAAATTCTGAAAACAAATAAACTAAACAATTAGTAACTGTTTTCAGGATGCTTTTCTTCTGATGGAAATCTTCGAGTTATGGAGTCATAGTTTGCAGAACTTCAAGTGTAATTTCATTATCAGGCAATAAGTGCCTTCGGTTGTATCAATGAGGAAAGGGAAACGAAAAATATTTGTCTGATCTCAAGACTGAGGATGTTGGGGTAAATTGAGCAGTGGACTTGTTCGCTCATGCATATTTTTGCTAAGACGCCAGAAATAACCTTCTGTAATGCAGATATCTGCTACTTGTTTCCCAGTGATATCCAGTATTCCAATTTGAAAGCATGTAATCGAGCTTTGATCGCAACTTATTTTGAAACATGACTTCGTGGTTCACAAATTCATAAGCAGATCATTTCCGTACTATTATTAGTGGTATTCTGTATGTATGTTAAGCATCACTGAGTAGCTTTATTGCATATCCCCGCAGTGACGCTTGTTGCTATGTTGCTGTTGGTTACAAGTGGCCCTGGTTTCGAGGGAAGATTTAAATGATGTAATATTGCGATTTCATTGATATAACTCAGGCTCATACATAAAAGAAGGTTAGTCTAAACAATTTATCATTAGGCTGTAGGGCCTCATACACATATATGGTTTTCAAGAAGGAAAATCATATGAGAAAAAGTGAAACAGTTTTTGAATACCTGTAGTCACAGTTATAATTGCAACAAAATATCTTGGATAGCAAATATGGTTCAAAATCAAGAAATTAAACAAGAGCGAAACGCAAGCTTTGATGACATGAGGGTCTCAGAAAAGTGTATATCGAGAAAGCTGTATGGTGTCTAATAATCCACATAAACTTAGTGAGTGTAACAGCTTTCGTGGACATCTCCAACAGGTAGGTTACAAGTTACGAGAAAAACACGGTTGTCTTTTGCACGTTTGTGAGAGGTGCACACATCGGCGAGCTGTGAAGAATTGACCAAGTTTAGCGGTAAGCTAAATGTGAAATCAAGGTCAGACTCCGACCCGTGTGACGATAATGGTGCGATCAAGAAGCCTTTAGTCGCAACTGGTAAGCCATTGTTGAATAGATTGTCACAGAAGAGAGTCACAGTCTCAGAGGACAGTTCTGACTTCACAAGTTTACAAGGTATTACTAGTCAGAGTGAAGATATAAAACCTTTAGGTATTTGTGAGGAAGCACCTGAATCGCCTACTGCTGTTATTAAAGCGTTTGAAAATGATGAAGTCGACCAGATAGATGATGGTAAATTGAATATTTGTGACAATGATCATGATAGTGCCCTTTTGCCTATGGTTGATCATGATGAGATGAGGGATATGCCTACTACTGCTGAGTTGAACAAAGGTTCTGTACATCTTGAACGTGAAGTAGAATTAAATGCAGATGCAGTTGCAGAAGGCATGCATACTTGCCAAACCGTCAGTGTAATTGATCAGAGCGAAGCCCACCTATCATCAGATGGTAGTGCTAAACCAGAGCTGATAGTAAAAGACAACAGTGGTGGTAGTCTTGCAGGTAGACAACTTTCTGAAACCCGAGCAACAACAGCTTCTGATCCGCCGCTGAATTCATCAACTGGTATCAATCAGTTGTCGTTGGTGTTTTCATCCACAATGAAACAGATGCCCATCAACTCAACTATCTTGTGCAATGACTATGATAGTATTAGTGCGTTTGAAAAGACGAAAGATATTGCTCAGTTTAGTGAGAATAAGCCAAGTGTAAACGAGAGAGTAATTGTTAAATTGACTTGCATGAACCAAGGCATTTCTAGTTTCAAGTTACTAATTGAATGCTATTATCTTTGGTGTAAATTACTCTGTTTCTACACTTGGTTGATGAGATATGCCGTGTGTTTGTTCGTCATCTATATTCTACGATACAATGACATGGGCGTGTTGCCGTTCAGATTTGAGGATTTAGCTGATAGACGGAAGTCAGCAAATGAACTCTGCGACGATTTTCCAACCTAGGGCGTCAACCTGAGAAGGGTTGTAGGCGTACTGCTGTAAGTCCTACAATTCTTCAAAGGGTAGCGCATCAATGAGCAGTACAATGTGCTTGGTGTATGATCTTGTACATATGTTCATATTGTATATACTGAATTGATATCATCTGTCATCTAGCTGTTGGTAATTCTGTTTGTGTCCGGACGACTTCCACTTGGATCATCAACCTGAGAAGGAATGTAGGCGTACTGCTGTAAGTCCTACAGTTCATCAAAGGTAGTTCGTCAAGCCAGAATCCACAACATTTGATGTAGTGATTGTACATATGATTGTGTTAAATAGTTGTGTGAGTTCCAATTATCGCAATTGTTGGTTAGTCTTGTTTGTGTCCGGACATTCCACAAATTACAATCGTCAACCTGTGAAGGGTTGTAGGCGTACTGGTGTAAGTCCTGCGATTCTTCAAAGGAATTCCATCAAGACATGATCCACGAGGTTGTTTGTACAATTTGTATATACGTGTGGTGTGTCATAGCAATTGGTGTATTTTGGATTCATTGTGTTTACTTGTGGTTTTCGTATCTTGTTGTTATTGCGTAATTTTGTTAAAATTTTCGTCGTGATTACTTCCAATGTTGTGTCCACTCTTCTACATCCGTGAATGAATTGATTGATGTTAAGGACAGCAGATGGGGCGTATACGCCGGGGAGGCAAGGCTATTGCTGAGAATGAAATGCACACGGAGATAATTGTTAGCTGTCGTCCCACACGCCGGGGAGCGAGAGTGTATACGACTGAGGCTCGCATACGTCACCGCTACTAGAAATGAGGCAGAATGAGTGACAAGCGATTGCAGTGGCAATTGGTAATGAGTAGATAAGAGGATGAGCGTAGAGTATCGTGAGGGGTGCTATGGTCACGTTGCATTCTGCAAGAGTCATTCTAGCAAGTGGCGATCGTGTTGCAAGATGTCAAGAGGAGGTCTCTGTCTGGAGGCGCAGGTCGTCATTGATGTGTGAAATTGTGCTGTGGGTATGCTTGTGGTGTGTTGGCTTTTCTGTTTGTTTTCCATTTCAGCTCTGTCCGTGTGACCAAGGTTCTCGCAATGGCATCCAAGTCAACGTGTATTGGTCATGGTGGAAAAAAGGGTTGTATCCCTTTTTTGCCGGGAAGTGTCAATGGAGTTGAAGATTGAACGATCAATTCTTGGTTGTTTGCTCGAAATCAACTTCCCCAATTTTCGCGGAGGCATCAATACGACAGTCATCGTCTCATCGGTCGCTGTTCAGAAAGAAGAGTGAAACATCGTCAGAAGTAATATTATGATTTATTATTGTAATATTTGTTCACAGACCTTAGTTCACTTATTCTTTTTATATGTTGGTGTAACAATAAAGAAATATCAAGCGGCAGATCGGTGTTTTGGTTTTTGCGTCCGTTATAACCAAGCGTTTCTGAAATCTTCAAGGAACAGCGTGGGCCCGAGCGTAGCGAGAGCTGGGCATTAACGGTTTATGAGACGTGATTGACAACGTTATTAGAAAATGAATGAGATAAGACATTGTGAAGTGGTGTTTAAAGATCTGACGATGGATAGCAAGTTAATTTATAAGATGCCCCATAAATCTGTTCAGATCCTGCGTGGTCGCATCTCAACAATAGGCTGAGAGAATGATATATATTTAAAGGTAGAAGCATGATCTGTCAAGGCGTTCATTATTATCTTTTTCAAGATAAAGATCTAAGCCCTCATAAAAATCAGAAATATCTCTAGCCTTCAAATTGTATATTGCTGTTCTACAGGAACAGCACTTTCTTGAAATTGAGATGAAGTCTATTTGATTCTTCGTGTTTCCATCTGGTGAAATCCATGTCGTCTTTTGTATATCCTTATTTTTGAGCACACTACCGCCAATCACCACATCATTGAAGGCGCAGAAGTCTGAGAAGAGTTCACCATTGTCGTTCATTTCACCGAGGGCCTCACGACCCATGGTGAGTTCTCTTCCTGTGTTGTCACCCATCAGGATTTTGATATCGCCATTTGGGACGTTGTCCATTACCGTTTGTAGTTGTCTGTAGAACGCCTCCTTCTTCTCTTGTTCTGAGACGTTTGTAGGCGCATAACATTGAATGACTGTAACTTTCCTTCCTTCCTTTTGAGTTGAACCTGGCTGTCATTATCCTGGAGGAGATTGGTTCCCACTGCATGAGAGCTTTGGTTGCTGTCGGTGACATCGTGATGGCCACTTACTCGGTGTGCTCACGGTTGTCCTCTAGGTGGCCGGAATAGATTACTGTCTCTCCAGTTGGTAGTTGGAACCTTCCAGTTCCGTTCTGTCTGCTTCCGCAGACTCCCAACACTTCTATTCTGTACCTTCTCATTTCAGCGGCTATCTGGGCAGCCTTTCCAGTTTCGTACATTGTACGAACATTCCATGTATCCGTCCTTATTTTTGCTTTCATCGAAAGAAGGCACATCGGCTGACTGGCTTCCCGAAGGCTTTCACCAGCCTGCGTCATTTCACTTCCCCGATTCCAGCGAAAAGTAAGGCTATTGCTTATGTTTTTAGAATTTTTAATATATTTATTCGTTGAAGTTTCTGTAGCGATTTGATTGTTTTACAGGGGTGGAGTTACTAGCACTACGCCCCAACCCTCCCTCTTTACTCGGGCTTGGGACCGGCTAGAAAAATAGTAAGCTACTAGCCTAGCAAGCTAGTATCTGGCGAGGTTAATCTGGGAATACTGGACAACTGTTTCGTCCCGGTTTGGGACTCTTCATGAGTACGCACCCTCTGAGATTTGAACCCAGGACCTTCCAGTTACAAGGCGAGCCCGTATACCATTAAGCCACTGGGACCCAACCAACTCTTTTACAGATAGGTTTAAAAAATATGCAAACGCCAGTTTTATGTCCTGTCACTATAATATGTTTCGAAATAGAGGAGCTGGGACCCCATTAATATCTTCTGAAGGTTCTGTTACTTCTGGAGGCATTTAGGAATATGATGCGTAGCCCTTACTTGCAGAAATCGATGA